GCTAATTTTTGTATTTTTTGTAGAGACGGGCTTTTACCATGTTGGCCAGGATGGTCTCGATCTCTTGAACTCATGATCTGCCTGTCTCAGCCTCCCAAAGTGCTGGGATTACAGGCATGAGCCACTGTGCCCGGCCAAAAATTATGACAGTGAGAGAAATTGGACATCACTGATTCCACCCTACTTTTTTTTTTTTTGAGACAGAGTCTCATTCTGTCACCCAGGCTAGAGTGTAGTGGTATAATCTCGACTCACTGCAACCTCTACCTCCTGAGTTCAAGTGATTCTCCTGCCCCAGCCTCCCTAGTAACTGGGACTACAGGCGCATGCCACCACATCTGGCTATTATTTGTATTTTTAGTAGAGATGGGATTTTACTGTGTTGGCCAGGCTAGTCTTGAACTCCTGAGCTCAAGTGATCTGCCCACCTCAGCCTCCCAAAGTGCTAAGATTACAGATATAAGCCACCACACCTAGTCTTTATGGCTTCTTACAGTGACTCTTAATCAGGGAAAAAGGACATGATGAGATTAGTCCTGGTGAACTCAAGGCAGATAGTGGTGGCAAGCTGGTAAATGTTTTGCAATAGGAAGGGTGGTTGTCTGAGGCTCTCTCTTGATGCATGTCTTTGCTAGGCTAGGAAGTCTAGAGAAACAGTTCTACTCTGAGCAGGTGGCCCTCACTTGAGCCCTGTGTATGGCAGGGTGAAGGCCTTGGGGGATGAGGTCTTAGTCCCAGTACTTCCATGAACATGGGTGCTCAAGTATCTCTGAGACCCTGCTTTCATTTCTTTGGGATATATATCCAGAAGTGCGATTGCTGGATCATATGACGATTGTATTTTATTTTTAGAGATAGGAGTGTCACTATGTTGCCCAGGTTGGTCTTGAACTCCTGGACTCGAGTGAGCCTCCTGCCTTGGCCTCCCAAAGTGCTGGGATTACAGGCATGAGCTACTGCGCCCTGCCTGCTTAATCATTTTTGTTATTACTGCATATATATTCTTTAAATTAGGGGCCATGCTAATTTTTGTATCATTCTAATTTTCTGCCTAATCATTTGAAAGTCTCTTACTGCTCCCTGTTTTAAAAATTTTAACCTTAATTAGCTAAACATTTTTATACATTACCTAGTCCATAGCAAGAGGTTTTTTTTTTTTTATTTGTTTTTTGCTGTCACCTTCATCCGCAATCTTTTCTTTCTTTTTTTTTTTTTTTAAACACAGAGTCTTGCTCTGTCACCCAGGCTGGAGTGCAGTGGCACAATCACAGCTCACTGCAGTCTTCACCTCCAGGCAATCAAGTAATTCTCCTGCCTCAGCCTCCCGAGAAGCTGGGATTACAGGTATCACCATCATGCCCAGCTAGTGGTAGAGATGGGGTTTCACCATGTTGGCCATGCTGGTCTTGAACTCCTGACCTCATGTGATCCACCCACCTCTGCCTCCCCAAGTGCTCGGATTACAGGCGTGAGCCACTGCACCCGGCCAGTTTTTTCTTTTTAAGAAAAAAACAAAAATATTTTTGTCCATGAATGAAGTCCTTGGGGGATCTACATCTATAAGACTTGTATGGGGTTGTTTTTTTTTTTTTTTTTTTTTTTTTTTTGAGATGGAGTCTTGCTCTGTCGCCCAGGCTGGAGTGCGGTGGTATGATCTCTGCTCACTGCAACCACCACTTCCCAGGTTCAAGCAATTTTCCTGCCTCAACCTCCTGAGTAGCTGAGATTACAGGCATGCGCCACCATGCCTGGCTAATTTTTGTATTTTTAGTAGAGACGGGGTTTCTCCATGTTGGCTAGGCTGGTCTTGAACTCCTGACTGACTTCAAGTGACCCGCCCCCCTTGGCCTCCCAAAGTGCTAGAATTATAGGTGTGAGCCAACACGCCCGGACTATAAGACTTGTTTCTGCTGCCTCTCATGCTCAGTGGCTTGTTTACATTTTCTTGTGTGTGTCTAATGCTCTTTAGTATTTAAGCTCATGCTTAGAGCTCATATCTTTTTTTTCCCCTTTGTAGATTTTTTTCTCATTGAAGATTTTCCCTTGCTTTTTGAGAGCCCAACAAAGCATTTAAGATTTAATAAGTATCTAGTTAAATTATAGTGGGAATATCTCTCCAAGGATCTCATCTGCCGACTCTATATATAGAAATATCTGGTCTTATATAGTAATTTTTAGGTATATTGTGAAACTTTCCCCTTCTCTTTTTTTCCCTCCCTTTGAACAATATATTAGATATCTTTCTATGTCATTATGTCATTCTTTTTCATGGCCGTTTAGTATTTCTTTATATGACTAGATAATAATTTAACCATTCTACCATTGCAGAATATTAGGTTGTTTCCAATTTTTTTATTACAGAACTACAGTAAACATCTGTAGGTACAGTAAAAATCTGCTAGTATTTCTGTAGGATTCATTCCTATAACTGGCATTAGTGGTTGATGAGATTTTTATTAAATACTGTCAAATTCCCCTAAATAGGCTATGCTGGTTTATACCAATACCATCAGTGGCTGAAAAATACCCATTTTCCTGTGCCTTCTTTTTTCACTCTAGATATTATTGATCTTTTTAATATTACTAATCGAAATGAGAGAAAATTCATACTTCTTTTAGAATTTGATGCTTTGATTATTAGTGTAAGCATAATCTTCATGTATTTATTGGACTTGTGTTTCTTTTCCTTTTTTTGAGACAGGGTCTCACTCTGTTGCCCAGGATGGACTGCAGTGGCGTGATCATAGCTCACTTCAGTGTCAACCTCCTGGGCTCAAGTGATCTTCCCACCTCAACTTCTGGAATAGCTAAGACTACGGGTGCATGCTGTCATGCCTGGCTCATTTTTGTATTTTTTGTAGAAATGGGGTTTTGCCATGTTGCACAGGCTGGTCTCAAAACTCCTGGGCTCAAGCAATTCTCCTGCCTTGGCCTCCCAAAGTTCTGGGATTATAGGTGTGACCCACTGCACCCAGCCCTTGGACATTTATTTCTTCTGAAAATAGTTCCTTTTTTTTTTTCTTTTTTATTTTTGAGACATACAAGTCTTGCGCTCTTATCCACACTGGAGTGCAATGGTGGAATCTCGGCCCACTGCAACCTCTGTCTCCCAGGCTCAAGCAATACTCCCCACCTCAGCCTTCCGAGTAGCTGGGACTACAGGCATGCACCACTGTGCCCAGCTAATTTTTGTATTTTTAGTAGAGACAGGGTTTCGTCATGTTTCCCAGCCTGGTCTCAAATTCCTGGGCTCAAGCGCTTGATCCATTGCATCAGCCTCCCAAAGTGCTGGGATTACAAGTGTGAGCCACTGGCACCTGGCTGTTTGCCAGTTTTTCTATTGAATTATTTCTTATTGATATATTAATATGCAGTAGTTCCCCTTATTTGTGGTTTCACTTCCTGCATCTGAAAATATTAAATTGAAAACTCCAGAAAAAAGCAACTCATAAATTTTAAATTGCTCACTACCCTGAGTCACTTGGTGTAAACTTGTATGGTCCCACCCGGAACATGAATCCTTCCTTTGTCTGGTATATCTGTGCTGTATGAGCTAACTGCCTGTCTATCACTTAGTAGCCATCCTGGTTTTCAGATAACTTGCAGTACTGCAGTGCTTGGATTCAAGTAACCTTTATTCTATTTAGTAGTGGCCCCAAAGTGCAATAGTAGTGATTTTGGCAATTAGGATATGCTGAAGAGAAGCTGTAAAGTGCTTCCTTTAAGTGAAAAGATGAAAGTTCTCAAGGAAATAAAAAAAATTGTTTTTAAATCATATATTGAAGTTGCTAAGATTTATAGTAAGAAGGAATCTTCTGTTGTGAAATCATGGAGAAGGAAAAAAAAATTCATGCTAGTTTTGCTGTTGTACCTTAAACTGTAGAAGTTAAAACCACAGTTCATAAGTGCTTAGTTAAGATGGAAAAGGCATTAAATTTATGGGTGGAAGATGTGAACAGAAATGTTTTGCATTTCAGTACCATCCATGGTTTTAGCCATCTACCACACTCAGAATGTATCCCCCTGGGACTACTGTATGTTTTGTGTTGCAAACATTTTCTACCAGGCTGATCTTTTTTTTTTCTTCTTTTTTTCTTTCTTTTTTTTTTTTTTTTCATTCTTGTTGCCCAGGCTGGAGTGCAATGGCGCAATCTTGGCTCACTGCAACCTCCCAGGTTCAAGCGATTTCCTGTCTCAGCCTTCTGAGTAGCTGCGATTATAGGCATATGCCACCACACCCGGCTAATTTTGTATTTTTAGTAGAGACAGGGTTTCACCCTGTTGGTCAGGCTGGTCTTGAACTCCTGACCTTGTGATCCACCCACCTTGGCCTCCCAAAGTGCTAGGATTACAGGCGTGAGCCACCGCACCCGGCCTAGGCTGATTTTCAATGCTGTCTTTTTCAAGAAACCATGATATGTTTCTCCATTTCTTCAGGTCTTTAAAAAAAGATCTATTTTAATGAATTTTTACAGATTTCTTCTTACATGTCTTTCATGTTTCTTGAGTTTATTCTTAGATATTTAATTTTTTTTAATTATGAAAGTAGTATTTAAAAACTTAGTATTATATTTTCATTTTTGATATGAGAGAAAGCTAGCTTCTTTCTTTACAAGTATTGTACCTGACTACTTAACTCTTTGTTCTATTTTCTGTATTCTCTTCTCTGTAAGTTTGCCTGTAGTTACCTTTGTTCTGAAAGAGAGGGAATTATTTTTTCTTCTTTTTTCTGACTAAATAGTCTCTTGTTTTTAGGGCTCTGGACATGGGCCTGTGCTAGGAGGGCTATAGCTGAATAGAGGCATGAGATACCATCTTTGAGGCCTTGCAAGGGAACGTAACCACCAAATAATCTTATTTCTGTGGGAAATGTTGTTCTAAATGCCAAAGTCCAAATTATAAAAGACTTTTTGAATGCAGTTTGTTCAAAAAGAACTAGATTTGGGCTACCTTTAGATTGTAGACTGCTTTTAAAATTATGGAATCTGTTTGAATTTCAGGAGCGTGAGGATCATCCCCGGAGAGGACGGGAGGATCGGCAGCACAGGGAACCATCGGAACAGGAACACAGGAGAGCTAGGAACAGTGACCGGGACAGACACCGGGGCCATTCCCACCAAAGGAGAACATCTAACGAGAGGCCTGGGAGTGGGCAGGGTCAGGGACGGGATCGAGACACGCAGAACCTGCAGGCTCAGGAAGACGAGCGGGAGTTTTATAATGCCAGGCGACGGGAGCATCGCCAGAGGAATGACGTTGGTGGCAGTGGTAGTGAGTCTCAGGAGTTGGTTCCTCGGCCTGGTGGCAACAACAAAGAAAAGGAGGTTCCTGTTAAAGAAAAACCAAGCTTTGAACTTTCTGGGGCGCTTCTTGAGGACACCAACACTTTTCGGGGTGTAGTCATTAAATATAGTGAGCCCCCAGAAGCACGTATCCCCAAAAAACGGTGGCGTCTCTACCCGTTTAAAAATGATGAGGTGCTGCCAGTCATGTACATACATCGACAGAGTGCATACCTACTAGGTCGACACCGCCGCATTGCAGACATTCCAATCGATCACCCGTCTTGTTCAAAGCAGCATGCAGTCTTTCAATATCGGTAAGTAACATGGAGGAAGAAACTGTAATGTGAGCAAAAACAATCATGGGGTTCGTTAGGATTACTAAGATTTTTGTTCATGTTTATGCAGAAGAATCCCATACCCTCCTATCTTATCTAAGGAGTATTGTTAATTTAACTGCTCTTTAAATAATTGCTTACATATTTATTGTAAGAACATTAAACTTTTATTTTTTATTTCCTTGAGATAAGGTCTCACTCTGTCACCCCGTCTGGAGTGCAGTGGTGCTAACACAGCTCACTCTAGTGGCAAGCTCCTGGGCACAAATGATTGTTTCCTGCCTCAGCCTCCCGAGTAACTGGGACCACAGGCATGTGCCTCTGTGCCAGCTAATTTTGAACCTGGATCTTGATAGCTTGCATGGGACATCTGTGATGATTCTCACAACAATCCTGTGAGAAGGATAGGGCAGGTTTTTGTTTCTTTGTGTGTTGGGGGTTTGGGGGTTGAGACAGAATTTTGCTCTTGTCGCCCAGGCTGGAATGCAATGGTGCAATCTCAGTTCACTGCAACTTCTGCCTCCCAGGTTCAAACGATTCTCCTGCCTCAGCTTCCCAAGTAGCTGGGATTACAGGTGCGCGCCACCATGCTTGGCTAATTTTTATATTTACTTTAGTGGAGATGGGGTTCCCCATGTTGGCCAGGCTGGTTTCGAACTCCTGTCCTCAAGTGATTCACCCGCCTCGGCCTCCCAAAGTGCTGGGATAACAGGTGTGAACTACTGCACCCAGCAGGTTTGGTTTGTTTTTTGTTGTTGTTTTTGGTTTTTTGAGACAGAGTCTCGTTCTGTCACCCAGGCTGGAGTGCGGTGGTACGCTCTCGGCTCACTGCAACCTCTGCCTCCTCTGGTTCAAGCAATTCTCCTGCCTCAGCCTCCTGAGCAGCTCGGACTACATGAATGTGCCACCATGCCCAGCAAATTTTTGCATTTTTAGTAGAGACTGGGTTTCACCATGTTGGCCAGGCTGGTCTTGAACTCCTGACCCCTCATGATCCACCCCCCTCAGCTTCCCAAAGTGCTGGGATTACAGGCTTCAGCCACCACACCAGCTGTTTTTTTGTTTGTTTTTGAGATGGAGTCTTGTTCTATTGCCCAGGCTGGAGTCCTGTGGTGCAGTCTCAGCTCACTGCAGTCTCTACCTCCCAGGTTCAAGGTTCAAGTGGTTTTTCTGCCTCAATCTCCCTAGTAGAGATTGGGGACTACAGGCACGTGCCGCCATGCCCAGCTAATTTTTGTATTTTCAGTAGAGACAAGGTTTCACCATATTGGCCAGGCTGGTCTCAAACTTCTGACCTTGTGATCCCTCCATCTTGGCTTCCCAAAGTGTTGAGATTATAGGCGCAAGCCACTGTGCCTGGCCCATTTTTTTTTTTTAACACAGCCGCCTGACTTTGAATGGACAAGTATTTATATCCCCATCTGACAGATGAGAAAACTGAAGCCCAGCAAAACCAAGTGACTTGCCTAATAAATGATCACTATAGTACAATGGGCCCCAACCTTTTTTGTACCAAGGACCAGTTTCGTGGAGGACAGTTTTTCCATGGACCAGTGGGGATGGTTTTGGGATGATTGAAGCACATTACATTTACTGTGCACTTTATTTTCTATTATCACATTGTAATATATAATGTAATAGTTACACAACTTACCATAATCTAGAATCAGTGGAAGCCCTGAGCTTGTTTTCCTGCAATTAGACGGTCCCATCTGGGGTGATGGGAGACAGTGAGAGATCAGGCATTAGGCTCATAAAGAGCACACAACCTAGATCCCACCTGTGCACAGTTCACAATGGGGTTCACGCTTCTATGAGACTCTAATGCCACCGCTGATCTGACAGGAGGCAGACTCAGGCAGTAATACAAGTGATGGGGAGCAGCTGAAATACAGATGAAGCTTGGCTTGCTTGCCTGCCGGCCCACTGCTCACCTCTTGCTGTGTGGCCCAGTTCCTAACAGGCCACAGTCCCTGGCCCCAGAGCTGAGGACCCCTGCCGTAGTAGAACTCTGCCTCAAATATAGCTCCCTTGACTCTGAAGTCTAAGTCCACTGTTTTTTCCCATTTGGACAGGAACTAAAATATATTGAAATATAGGTTAAAGAAACATATTGATTATAAACAACAGGAAAAAATGTATTTTCTTTTTCTTTTCTTTTTTTTTTTTAAATAGAGACAGGGTTTCACCATGTTGGCCAGGCTGGTCTTGAACTTCTGACCTCATGATCCACCTGCCTCAGCCTCCCAAAGTGCTGGGATTACAGGCGTGCGCCACTGTACCTGGCCTAAAAAATGTATTTTCTTAAACAAAGCAAGAGACATTGGATTCTGCATTTCTACCTTTTGATCTACTATGCCCACCCTCCAGCAAACCATTCTCACCTTTTCTGCTAAGTATATGTAAATTCCCAATTTCCCTTCCCAGGGCCATGCCTTTCCTTTGATTTATTTGATTCTCTAGAATTTTAATTTTAACTTTTAATTTTAATTTTTAACTTCTGACCTCATGATCCACCTGCCTCAGCCTCCCAAAGTGCTGGGATTACAGGCGTGCGCCACTGTACCTGGCCTAAAAAATGTATTTTCTTAAACAAAGCAAGAGACATTGGATTCTGCATTTCTACCTTTTGATCTACTATGCCCACCCTCCAGCAAACCATTCTCACCTTTTCTGCTAAGTATATGTAAATTCCCAATTTCCCTTCCCAGGGCCATGCCTTTCCTTTGATTTATTTGATTCTCTAGAATTTTAATTTTAACTTTTAATTTTAATTTTAAGCCAGGTGTTTTGTTTTGTTTTGTTTTGTTTTGTTTTGTTTTTTCAGTCTCCATAGAGACTGTCAAAAATTGCCAATGCGGACTATATTTCAAGTCGTCATAGCGGGGTATTGGGAAAAGTTTTCAATTAGCAATAATCTACGCCTCAGATAAACCTCATTGGCTACGATACTGCCACTTGCGCAAAGCTCAAGCCAGGTTGTTTACATTGTCTAGGCTGTTTTAGCAAAGAGCTTTAGAGAGGCTGGATGATCTGAGGCAGGACTTTGCTCACAGGTTTCTCTCCTTTTTCTCTGCTAGGCTTGTGGAATATACCCGTGCAGATGGCACGGTTGGCCGAAGAGTGAAGCCCTACATCATCGACCTTGGCTCAGGCAATGGAACCTTCTTAAACAACAAACGTATTGAGCCACAGAGATACTATGAACTAAAAGAAAAGGATGTACTCAAATTTGGGTTCAGCAGCAGAGAATACGTCTTGCTCCATGAGTCGTCAGACACTTCTGAAATAGACAGGAAAGACGACGAGGATGAGGAGGAGGAGGAAGAAGTGTCTGACAGCTAGCAAACTAAGAACACAAACTGAGACACCTTTTCCTTCTTGGAAGGCTTTGATTGACTCAGAGAACCATAGTGCTCTCTGTAACGCCTCTTATTGCCTTAACTGTTTTCCTCTGTTGCTGACCCAATTGTGTTACCATTTAAATTCACTGACTAATGTTTTGTCAAATTTTTTTCTGTGGCACATTGGCCACATGCCTGCAGGCATTTGTTTTCAAAACAGTCTCAGCAATTACAACACATTGTGTTTTAATAGAAGCGTTGTGGTTTTAGTTGGTGTTTTCAGAACTGCTGCCTAGAAAACTATGAACCCTTGGTTAAGGGGAAATCGTGGCTTGTTCTCTTTGTATAGTTACTTTATTTATATAGATGTTAAACTTTCTGGACCAGGTGTTTTTCTTCTGGGGCAAACCCCTGAGCAGAGAATCTTACTAAGCTTTGGTTATCACCAAACAACCTCCAGTATATACCAAAGCTTTGACCTGGTTGAGCTCTTGAGCTTAGAAGTTGATTTTGCACTTAGTGTTTTGGGGGTGGGAATGTACGCAGTCAGTAAGCATTATTGACTGTTAAACAGATGCTTTGTGGCACCTGCTTAATTAAGCCCATGACTGTACAGAAGGATCGTGGTTGCCACCAATGGGTGCTGATTCAGTGCCACAAGTGACTGAAATTGGCCGTGGATCTGTTCTTTGAGAGAATTCCTGATTTCTCCATGGAGCATGTACATAACAATTTTGATCATATTAACTGTACTTCAGTTTTGTGTTTTTATTCAAATGTTATGTCCTTTTTTTCTGAGAAATACACTGTCAGTGATGTGACAGCGTCCTTACTTTAGTAACATGTATATGTCTAAAGCAGGTTGTGTCGTTTACATGTTTCTACACATTTCGTCCTTTAAAAAACTGTTCAGAGAGGTTGTATTTACCTTCCCAAGGCTGAAAAACAGGGGAATTTCCTAGTTTCCTAGTTTTCCACCAGAGGAATATGTGTAAGTAGAAAAGTGTTAGCTGCTTACATATAGCGTGTATGTATGTATGTATATATGTAAATTGTGTGTTAAAGAGCTGATACTGATTTTCATATGACAATGTTAGGCAAAGGCCTCCCTGCATTTGAAGAGCAGGTTTTCATTTATATGTATTTTTGGGATAAAAAGTAATAAAATTTGTAAATATAGCTCCATTTCAAAGAGTAATGCTTTCCTAGCATAGAGGACCTATGTTCATAGGTCTGTTTGCTGCTAATGGAGCCTTCTGTCAGTACTTTTGAGATAAAAATAGGTAGCTGTTTAGTCTTGTGGGGCAGGTGTGTGGCCTCCAAGTCAGTGGAATGCCAGATGGTGACTTGGGGTGGGTTGGGGGAAAGTCTTCTAATGATTTAATAAGGTTATTAGATGAAAGGTAAGTTGAGCCGGGCACAGTGGCTCACGCCTGTAATCCCAGCACTTTGGGAGACCAAGATGGGTGGATCATCTGAGGTCAGGAGTTGAAGAACAGCTAGGCCAACATTATGAATCCCCATCTTTACTAAAAATACAAAAATGAGCTGGGGGTGGTGGTGGACACCTGTAATCCCAGCTACTCGGGAGGCTGAGTCAGGAGAGTTGCTTGAACCCAGGAGGTGGAGATTGCAGTGAGCCAAGATCGTGCCACTGCACTCCAGCCTGGGCAACAGAGCCAGACTCCATCTCAGGGGAAAAAAAAGAAGTTGAAGGATGTATTCTATATTGGCCACTGTAACTGCTATTTTCTTCATTTTGGTATATGCCATAGATCATGTATATGTGCTTGTCTGAAAAGTAGGTTTTGTTTTGATGAACTTTTCTTGTGATCCAGACTGGTTTTCTCTTGAGGATTTAAGCACTAAGCTGGTATCTTACTCTAGGACCTCTTTGTTCAGTTTGTGCTACAGTAACACTGCTCCGTGGTAGCCTTTGGTTTTGCTACAAACTTCATCCTGGTGGGCACTATGATAGATGGCCTCTTTGCCTACATTTTTCAGTAAGAAGTCCTAAGTGTTTAGTCAGTTTTTACTTTAGTGGAGGAATGACGTCCTGGATTAGGAAATTCTTTAGACCACATATCTGAGAAGGTGTTTTTTTGGTCTTGTTTTCCCTTCCCCTCTTTCTTTGAAGAGAGCATGTCAAAAGACAGTACCCACCTCTAAAGGCAGATATCACCAGCTGACTTTTTTTTTTTTTTTTTTTT